TTCACCCTTTTGAAGCATATAATTCAGTTGTTTTTAGTATATTCAGGGAGTTGTGCAACCATCACTACTAACTCCAGAACATTTTTATCACTCAAAAAGAAAACCCCATACCCATCACTAGTCACTCTTCCTTCCTCTCTGCCTGCCTCCAGCCCCTAAAAACCACCAACCTCACCAATCTGCTTTCTGTCTCTATGAATCTGCCCATTCTTGACATTTCAAATAAAGGAATCACATAATATGTGGTCTTTGTGTCTGGTTTCTTTCACTTAGCATAATGTTTTCAAGGTTCACCCATATAGCATGTTATCAGTACTTCACTCCTTTTTATGGCTGAATAATAATCTATTGTGTGGATATACAACCTTTTGTTTATCCATTTATCAGTCAATGGACAACTCAACACTTGGATTAGGATGGGTTAATTCTCAAAGCCAGGAGACTATAAAAGTCAAGGGTACCTTCAGCAGAAAGGCAGACAGAATTCTGACATGCCCCTGCCAGGCCCCTTTCATTCATCTTGTCCAGTCCTGAGCCAAGATCAGTCTTTCAACAAATGCTCATAGACACCAATCTGCACAAGGCCCTGGAATACAAAGGTGAATGTCACAGGGCCCCTGCCTTCTGGGAGCTCAGATATCTTGCTTTAAGAGACACCCCTCCTCCCCCCCAACAAGGAAACAACCACACCTCAGATTTAGCAGGTGATAGATCCTGAAAGATCTAAATTACCTGATTATTCTTATCACCCAACTTCAGCAAGAACCTTTCAGACCAGTCAATCTTTTATAGGCAAGTAGATTTAACCGCTCACTAGCCTTGACTGATATTGGACAAACTACCTACCCTCTAAACCTCAATTCACCTATAAAATGAACCTAATAGTACTTATCTTATAAGCTCACTGTAGGGATTAAATTAGTTGAGATGAAGCAGCCAGCACATAGTAAGTGCTCTTCAAGTATTAATGGCAAGCTAAACTAGTTCTTCTTGATGTTGTAATTCTAGGCTCTGGGATTCCTGAAATTCTTGACCCAGCTATGAGTAAAGAAACCACTGAACACTGATCTCGAGATGAAAGGGCCTGTATAGAAGATGAGCCAGGGAAGAGCAAAACTACTCACCAGCACCTAGATTTTATATTTAATTAGCAAACTGTAGAAACAGGCAAAGCTTCTTATTTATAGCTATAGATCCACCTGCATCTACTTCTTGAAAGATGTGGAAGAGAAGGGTCTGTTTAAAAGATTCCTCCTTTCCTTCACAATCTCATGCCTTTCCAGTTCTTTCCAACACTAATGCTTCTTTCTTGGCCTCTTTCCTTCATCCCACATTGAGTTACCTTCTACTCTGAAGGCCCATTTTGAAAAACAATCAAACGAATTTGAACTTTGCCCAATGACCAAGCACATTAAAAAGAGAGAGAGGAGGAGAGGGGGAGGTCATATCATTGGAAGTACAGTGGAATTAAAGGGCAGTAATAAAAGAGACTGGAAAAAAATGCATAAAAGAGACTGGAAAGCAGATGTCATGACAAAACAGGAAGCAAAATACATGGGTGACACAGAGGAAGAGGACCTGCCCTAAGGGGTCAGGACTGTCAAGGCTTGGTATTTGGGGTTTTTAGAAGTATTAACGCTTGACTTAAATCACTGAACATTTGTTTACAAGCTGGGTGGGAAAGGGAGGAGCAGGGGACTGCAACCTTCTAGAAAAGATTAAGTTGGTTCTTTTTAAGGAAAACAAGATCTCTTTTCTTCCTACCTTTCAGAAATTCCAGAGTCTATAATAGCCCTAAATCAAAATCACTCACAATCACTCAAAAGCAGCTCACTGATTTGATTCCATTGGGGTTTATATTCACGCACCCATTATCACGTCTTACTGATGGAAGCATCAGACCTGGAATCAGAAAACAGATTCAAATCCCAGCTCTTCCATATCTTAGCTACATGACCTCATGTGGGTCACTCCACCTCAGTAAGGGTCTGTTTGTTTTAAATTTATAAAACAATGGGATGCCTGACAAACAACATACATTCAACACATGTTAGGTAAAACCCATATTTTAAACACTAAAAACCCATTACCCATCCATCCTTCCAGACGGTCTCTTTCCCATCCTTCTTGGAAGTCTCTAAATCCGTTGCCAACCCCAAAAGCCAGACTATTTCCAGAAACTGGCACTCAAATTGATTTCAACGGCACTACAAAGATGCACACTTGGAAGAGCAGCATTCTCAAGAAAAAAGAAATCCATTAGCTGTGGTTTTCAAAAATGTCTTTAAATGAAAAGCAAAAAGGAGAGAAAATCAAGCTCCCCAAATGTAATACAATGCTTTGCTATATTTAAAATACCTACTCATATAACAGTATAAACTGAGATTTTAATTTGAAATTTAACTTCTAACAAGAAGCACTCCTCTTGGATATGTATTCACACTACTCCGTAAGTGACTTTGTCCAGTCGCTTAACTTTAAATACTGTTCACATGCTAACAGCTTCCACATGCACATCTCCAGCCCAGGCCTGTCACCAGACTTCCCTAATTGTCAACAACACATCTTCACTTAGATTTCTATAAGCATTTTGCAATCAGTGTGAACAAAACAGCCCCAAATTCTGTTCCTCCTACAGTCTTCCCCATTTCAGTTAATGACAATTCCACTCTTCTAGTTGTTCATGCCAAACACCATGGAGTCACCCCGACTCTTTTCTTCCTCTCACATCCCACATTCACAAACCCCGCTGGCTGTACTTCAAAATATACGCAGGGCCCAACATCTCTTTACCACCTCCATCACTACCACCCGGCCTATCCTTCACCTGGATCATGGCAGTAGCCTCTGAATGTGTCTCTCTGCTTCTAGCCTTGCTCCTCTTTATTCTTTCTCCCCATGGCAACAAGAGTAAACCTGTTAAAAGGCAGGATGGATCGTGTCCACTCCACTGCTCAAAACATACAATAGCCTGCAAGGCCCTCCACCACCTGCCCATCTCTCTCCTTACCCGCAACACCTCTCTGACCTCATCGTCCTCATGCCCACTCATTCGCACCCATCCAGCCATTGGCCTCCTGGCTGGTGCACAAACCTTCCAGGAGTACCTGTCCTTAGGGCTGTTGAATTTGCTGTTCTCTCTGCCTGAATCACTATGTCCCCATTCAGCCACACGGCTCCTTCCCTCACCTCCTTCAAATCTTCACTCAATTGTTAACCTCTTAGGAAAGCTTCTCCAAGGACCCTAATTCAAAAGTGCCACCCTAGCAACATTCCACATCCTGCTTCCCTGCTTTATTACAATATAATATGCATTTTACTTGGTTTCGTTTATTGTTCTTTTCTCCACTAAAATTTAATATCCACAAGGGCAGGATTTTGCCTTTTTTATGTACCACATTCCCTGTGTTTACAACAGCACTGTCCAGTATAATTTTTAATTTAATTATATTTATTGTAATGTAAAAACATCATTGAGATATTTTACTTTTTTCACACTAAGTCCTCAAAATCTGGTATTTTATACTCATAGCATATTTTCAGTGCTCAACAGCTCCATATGGCTATTGGCCACCCTGCCAAACAGTGCAACTCTAGAATAATGCCTGCCATAGATTAAGGACTTATATTCATTGAATCAAAGAATGTTTTCCCAGAAAGAGGCAGCTATAATAGAGTTTTCTAAATTTCAATTGCATTCTACATTCACAATTTTTGCTGTGATCTATGTACTATTTTTTCCTTAAAATGTCATGCTTTTTATACTTAAAAAACTTTAAGTAAAATTTTATATTGCTTCAATGAATGGAAAAGAACAGGGCTAAGGATAAAAGGCCTGGGCTTGAGTCCCTGTTCAGTCATTCACTAGCTCTGGACTCTAAAGCAAGGACCTTACTAAGCCTCCATGTTTCTCCATATGTAGAAATAGGGACAATACCAACCTTCATAGGACCGTGGTGAAGATTAAATGAGATGTTGGTATAAGTGCTTTTAAATGGGATAGTCATTAATTAAGAGACTCAGAAGCCAACCCAAGCCTTTTTCCCAGGCCTATCTTCTTCACGTGGACCAATAACAGAAAACAGCAAGTCTAAGAGCCCAGATTTGGGTTCAAATCCCTTGTCCTCCACTTACAGATATGTAACCTTTAGAAATTCACTTACTCACCAAACATTTACCAAGTGCCCACAACATGCCAGGGACTAACCTAGTGGCCAGATAACCAAATAAAATATGACCCCTGCCCTGAGCGATCTGCAATCTAAAAGAGAGAAAGAGACCAGTAAAAAAGAAAAAAAAAAAAAAAAAAAGCAATAAATTGTTAAAAACTCAAGTCATCACTCTTATGTGTTTGTTCATTGTGAAATGAGAATAGCACCTTCCCAACCTGGGCTTCCACAAAAATCAAGGCTGCTACAAAAATCAATTTCAATGTTTGTCAAATATTCCAAAAACTTGACCTCATAATACATTAGCAAAGTACTTTTTCCCTACTTGTCACCTAAAATGACTCCGGTTCCTGTGAATGTCCAATCTGAACATTCACTCCAGTTATATCGCATCCGTGAAATTCATTTCACTCATGCATATCTATCTGAGTAAACACGAAGAAAAAGAGGATAAGTTTTTCACACAGGTATTTAATCTCAAAATCATGATCCAGGTCATAGTTCTAAGGAACACAACACGGACCTCTCGGTCACCCTACATAGTTACACTTTGTCAAGATAAGCAGTCACATGGTAAGAGAAACTGAATAATTTAAAATGAAGAGGAAGTCACAAAGCAGTACAGGTAGAAACTCTGTCCAAGGTTCCAGCAGTCACTGTGTTGCTGAGGTAATGCTGAGCTACGAGGTGCTCAACAGTTTAGGCTAAAAGCCATATTTTAGGGCCAAAGTGCTCACACTCTTTTCTGCAGTTCAGAAATTGATCTAACTTCGGAAAATCTCAAAGAAACATGATCAGAAGGGCTAAGTTCCCAAGAAGTGGAAACCTTACCCAAGTGGCTGTGACGAAAGCAAGATTCTGTGATCTATCCTGAAGTTTAAAAACTGAATGGGACCGAAATCAAAGTCTCGGGTTACAACCATTTCCAAAGAGGAAAGAAGGAAGAGACTCTCAGATGGATTTCAGGCAGTATCTTCTTGAATTCTCCTTTCCCTCCATGTCCTATGCCCATTGTCGAGCGCAAGTTGCCCCTTCCTCCTGTCCCGACCCTTCCATAAAGGTCACCCCTCTCCACCCCTGGCTTCTAAACTCCCTTCCACTTCTGTCCACCACCGTATCCCTGGCTTGCTGTCCACCACCGTCCACCACCGTATCCCTGGCTGCCTCCGCGCCCTTCTCGGAGCAGCTCCAGCGCACAGCCCGCGGCGCGCCCACCCGGCTAAGGCGGGAGTCGAGACACCCCTCCTCGGAGGCCGGAACCGCCGCGCCAGGCCC